CCATTCGCTCGATCGACAATGTTACCGCCAATCTTCTCGATTCGGAAGTCATGCATATGTAAGGATTTCGCTTGCCGTCCGGAAGCACCGGAGACATATGACCTTGAGTGCTCGTACACCGGTACCTTTGCATAGCTCATTGAGTCTCTAAATCACGTTTATTATCCACCTCATCACGCTGCTTCTCTTTGAAGACTTTAGATACCCATTAGCTCCTTGACCGAGAGAACATTTGTGACGGTATGCCTGTGTTCGCTCATTCATGGCAACAGGCGAACCTTCAGCAGTGAATATTTCCCACGTGGAAACTCACTTGCTCCTTCCCAACTGACATGACTTGCAACATGCAGGGACTTTCCTACTGAGGAAAATGTACATTGCCATACCAACCAATGTGATGTTTAGATCGACCGACTAGCTGTTGAGGTCGTGAATCGGGCCCACTCTACTGGACACAATAGTCGGCGACTCAGATCACCCCTTGCTTAGAATTCGGCACAGAACCTTGTCGAGACTTTTCTCTGCCGCTTGAATCTCCTTTGTTCTCATTCTTTACAGGTGCAATGGCTTTGGAACAATAGTAAGCAAAGTCACGTGGTATGACATACCATGTCCGAGAACAATAGTAAGCTAACATCGAGGGCCTTACCCTTGTCGGGACCATGCTCTGGACCTTTTGACAACAACAGCCACAAAGGAAGCTTCGTCCTTTCCCATATACTCTTTTCCGTTGTATAAAACGGTGCTCATGGTCCGTAAATTTATTGTTCTTCCAGCCAACAGAACACTATCTACCTACAATTTCAAGCTCTCTACATATCCTTCAATCACCTCAAACCACCCAAGCCAACTCAACTGTCAGCATGGCCCTTCATCGTGGCGTCAAAGGCGGCTGCACCGTCCAACGCATTGCCAAAGGCGGCACCAAAGGCGGCTGCACCATCCAACGCAATGCCAAAGGCGGCGTCAACGGCTGCACCGTCCAACTTGGCGGCGTCAGTGGCGGCTGTACCGTCCAATAGATCACTCTCCTCTCTTCCTCCCTCTCTCGACAGAGACTCGACAGAGAGACACTGCCTGTAGTTGCATCACACCCAACGACTACAGATTGATGCCGTCTCAGCTCATCACCGCTTTCACTTCGATCATCCCTTTTTACACGATAACAAGGGGATTTGTCCAAGTACTTACGCCAATTGACAAGTACGCGGATACAAGTCGCCTCAAAGCCTTGCTATAATGCCGATAAAAAAACATGCGAGAATCTTCCGACATGGCCGATCGACCACAACAACATATGCGGCGATGGGATTGGAGTCTTGTTCTGCTTACGGCGTGGCATCTTCTTTCCTTATAAATTATGTATCTAGTATCTAATGCGTACGCCAGGTTGAGTTCTTGGGGGATGGTTTCTGACTTTGGTCTTTGTATTGAGGGCAGCGATCGTTCAGAGGGAGCTTAATGATATGTACATACTCGTTCGCCACATACATCTTCTATCTGTAAGCACTTGCGACAACTGCGTGTCTCAATGTGTCAGCGTGATCTTTACCGCTGTGTTTGCTTTCGAACGGTATGATATAGTCTCACCGACATGGCGATGGAGAGGCGTTTGTGTATCACAGATATGGACATCTCTCCACTGATTTAGATATTACCAACAGGAGGAGCTTTACAACACGACCACTGGGTAGCGGCAAAAATGTGAACAAAGCATTGACACATCACGCCGCAATAGTTACTATTCGCATGGAACCATCATTCTATTGTTCACGTTAAAAACCGGAGACGACTACCTGTACATACACATCTGAAGTCACTGGGAAACAGCCCAGCAAGCCTGTTCAAGTCAGATAGCCCTTCGCGAAAATCTGCCGCATGATGTGGGTTGAAACAAAGCTACGATACAACAGAGTTTAATGACACGTTCATCACCTTCCTCGTAGGCTCCGTACCGAAGGTTTGTGTGAAACATGGTCTTTCACTGCAGTCGTGGCGCCCTTTGCAAGAGGCTCTCGTGAGACAGGGCTGGTGTAAGGCGATTTCTTAGAAGCGCTGCGTAAAGATGCAGGGGTTATGTTTGGTGAAGCATTATCCTCTGAATCCAGTACCTCAGTGCTCGTTTCTCGATTTGGCGTGCTCGGTCGTTGGGAGCGAAGTGCCTTTCTGCTTGACAGTGGTCGAGTAGGCTTCTTGACCTTCTTCAGTGCACCAGGCCTAGTAACCTTCCTTTGAAAGCTGACGGTTGTGTGTCGGGTAGATTTGACGGTAAATGGCTTCGCCGTCCGGAGATTAGCTGATCTCGTACGTTTATCAAGAGTTCCGGAACTTGATCGCTTTAGAGCGCGGTTTTCGCGGGATGCATTCTGGCGCGACAGCGCATCTGCTTCCCTCTCGACTCGCTCACGAGCAGACTCCAATCGAGCGACAGCATTTTTCGCCTTGGCGCTAGCTGAGTTGCCTGCAAGCATCCTGCGCTTCTTGGGGGAGCTTTGGGTGCTTTCAGAACCAGGCCTTCGAGGACCGAGCAAATCCTGCAGCTTGCGTTTCGTGCCTGTGATGAGCACTGAAGCTATTGACTTCTCTTCAATGGGTTTCTTTGGCTTGGGACCGAGGACCCCACGGCATGATTCAGTGCCACAGCGGCATTCCTGAATGTTCTTTTGGGAAAACGGACTAAGGAAGTCAGAACGGTTCAACATATATGTTATAGGACATGACTTACTCAAAATTGTAATCGTAGGTCAGCTCATCGCCAGTCATGATGCCGCGGGGACCGGCGAACAGCGCCATCCGAGGCTCTCCACCCACAGTCCACTTGATCATCTCGCAGTTGGGTTCACACGAGTGATTAACGAATCGAGCAATAGTCCCACGAGTCGCATCAATGATCATTTTGTTGTCGAAGCTCATGAGATAATAGCACTGCAGAGGATTAGCAGAAATCTGTATGGCAAGACCTTGACAACGTACCTTGTCTTTCTTGTAGACCTGTTTCATGCGTCGCTCGCATTCAGACTGGGTAATGATCTCTCCAGCATATTCTACGATGATCTGGTGTGGCTCGAACGTTCGCATAGCACGAACACCGAACCCTCGGTCTTTTGTATCGAGAACTTCCACACCATAGTCATAACGGTTGCCTTTTGCACGCTTCTTGAGCTCTGCGAATGGCCGATTGTTACATAGGTCCGGAGGCAGTGGACAGTTGGTTTTGTCACATTCATACGCCATGATCCGATTGTGACAGGACTCTCCACAGCCATCTTCTTCATCGCAATAGCATTGGGAGGAGTCTTGCTTGTCGCGTTTCCACAGCGCAGATGCGTCGCCGATGAACCTGTCTGCATGTCGTTAGCATTGTTGACTGAGTGGGATCATAGTGAGGTTACTTTTGTTGAGTTTGACCCAGCCGTCGACCTTAACCTTTCTGGGTAGAGGGCTGTAAGTATCGAATGGCAACTTGAAATCGCGGAATACATGTTTTGGGTCCTCGTTCAATAGACGTTCGCAGGCAAAAATCGGGAGGGGCAAGATTGTGGCCTGCCATGGTTTCTTGGCCCTCTTCTTCGCGCGGTTCTGGCTTTCTGAGAGACGAGGATCAAAGTCGCGATCCTGGCCAACATACAAACCTTGCTTGAGCCAGACTTTCGACTTGGGCTGCGAGAAGATCTTTCCTTCCTGGTCTTGGCTATCTGCATCTCCATCCTCAAGAGCATCGCGAGACCGCTTGAGAGAAGCCGCGGGGGAAGCTGATTGGCCGGATTTGAAGGATGGCTCTGAAGTACTGCGCCGTAAAGTGCTTTTAACGAAAGCCTTTCCCCCTGAGTACATGCTTGCGACGGTGTCGCCGACACCGCTTTTGCGGAGGACCTCCTTGCGAAGGTCCGTCACGCGAGAGGAGGTGCGACGTCGTGCTGCCTGGGCGGCTTCGGCAGCCAGCTGATCCTCGACCTGATCGCTGGCATCAGTCATGTCAGACTTCCGCTTCAGCATCTTCTTTCGCATAGGTGTGGCTTTCTCCTTCCTCGCGAGCTCCTCAAGAGAGCCGTGCACGACATTCTTGTGGTGCTTCTCAAGGTATTTGGTCGGCGTATGAATCGCAGTTCCGGCGAGAATCTGCACGTTGTACGTGGTGACGGACTTGCGCGAGCTCCTAGCAGGGCGGCGGGCCTCGTTGTTGACGGCGTCGGGCGTGGTGGTTTGCGCGGACGCTGAGGTCTCGCCGAGCATTTGGAGGCCCGGAGCCTCCTCGTACACTTCGACAGCTTGTTCGATCTTCGTCATCTCGGACATGACGCTGGCTTCGTCGCCGAGGCTGGTAGGTGGCGTCGAGATGGAAGGCGACGCGCTGGACGTGGCGCGAGCATCGCCCTGCTTGTCAGTTCGCACCGTGATGTTCGAGAGCGTAGAGGATGTTGAAGTTGGGGATAGATCGCGCTCGGCCATGACAGCGGACGGGCAAGGCAGGAGCACGCGTCGTGGTCGTGGTCTTGAGGGGTGAGGCACTGACGCGCGAAGGAGGTGGACGCTTTGGGCGGGTCAACGGCGCTCACGAAGCAACACTGCCAAAGTCTGCGCGCGATAGGCAAAGAGCACGCGAAGAAACGTGTACAACTGTCGGTCCGGTTTAGGAGAGTGTGTGGGCATGCATTGGGAGGCGCATCGAGCCAGAGTTGGGAGATAGATGGACGGATGGACGATTTGGGGAGGTAAACACATGCAGCTAGTCAGTCAGCCGATTAGGCCGTCGTGCCCTGTATATCCAATGTTACCAGCACCACCACTCCTCGCATTCCGTCTTATTACCGGCACGTACGGGCCGGGTCTTCGAAACCGAGCCCGCTGCAATGTTATCATGGAATGTACACATAATCAAGGAAGTCACTCATCAGTGCATGCGAACGATCATATGGTGCCGTGCCTGCACTCGTGTATTGTGAAGAAGCTATTACTTAAGATGGGCTAACCACATGATCACGCTGATCAGAAACAGCGTCTCATGCCACAGTCGCGTCTGCAGCGTCACGTCCTGACCTACTGGCTGGGCCCTGGAATGCCCCAGACCCACTAACATCCTGCATCTCCACCCCGCCGCCCTGTTGCTCTGGCACTAGAGGCGCAGTCCGTTTGTCTTTGCGCGAGCCAAACCTTTGGTCGCCCTCCTCGTACTTTCTCTTGAAATGGAGATAGGTCGGTGGGCGTGGTCGCTGTAATACAGCAACCCAGTTTTTTAACGCGGAGCCCTGCGTGAAGGGCCTATGCCGATCCTTTTTGAGGAACTTGTGTGAGTTCAAATATTCACGTGTCGTTTCGCCCCTACCAACCAGGAACAGATGGTATATGCCAAGACTGAAGGGATATGACCACCCGAGGAGTCCATATATACACATGGCAAAGGGTACACGCCATCGATCGATGGCCTCGCCAAAGGATGCTCCAGTTTGCGCCCGCCAGACTAGTATGTGTGCCAGACTAGCGCCCAGGAGGAAAAGACCTAGCAACGTGGTGGCGCACACGAAGACAAAGAAGTAACGGTAGTTGCGGCGTCCCACGCAATTGTTGAGCCAGACGCAATGGTGATCTTGCGTCTCGATGCAATTGTCACATACACGGCAATGGTGAGCACGTGGAGGTCGCCAGATGTTGCAACTCTTGCAATATTTCGTCGGCACCTCCATAGCTGCATTCGTACCGGTTGCGGAGACCACCATGGTCCACTCAGTGGTGGGCGGACCGAGACTGAGCGGATCGTCATTAGGATTAGGAGGGGGGAATGGATGTAGATTTCGCGGAAGTATCTATACGGCGTTAGTAGTGTTCATGACAAAGGAGGTGCATGACATACGCCCGGATCTGAAGCTGAAGCATGAAGGAAAGAGGAGATGGAGACGAGAAGCAAATATGCAAAGAGGATGGGTATCGATGGAGAAACGTTGGTCCATAGCCAAGGGGCCCTATAGTAATAGTTAGCGTGAGGAACAATAGCAGTGGAGGGGAGTCCACGAACGAGAAGCCGAAAAAAAGACCAGCAGGTAAGATGATGAGGATTGCCGTGGCGACGTTGACTGGACGGTCGCGGGTATTTTGTAATCTACCGCCCCAGCAAAACGCGGTATTGCCAGAGAAGTACTGGTAGTTCCTGCCGAGCTCCCGCTTGACTGCCTCCTTAGTAGCTTCTTTGCGGGCTATTCTGGGTGACGACTCGGCAGAGGTGAGTTTCTCGTGTCCTTGATGGGGTCGTATTTGGGCTGAGCGTCCGTCGCGACTGGACAACATGAAGCTGGAACCGAAAGAGCGGGGCGATTTGCTGGGCGTTGGGAGCTTGCCGGGATCGTGGCCATGAACATTGGAGAGATCCAGGTGCTGAGGCCTGGGTCGCTGCAGGGGAGTGATGCTCTCGCCTCGACTGCGCACTGTTTCTGCGCCCGTGGGCGTGGTGTTGGCTGTGGTGCGGTCGGGCATGTCTCTATCGGTGATGTCGGTGCCGCGCGACGGCGGAGGCTGCGGGTCCAGCTCGTGATGGAGGCCCAGGGTTGGGGCGCCGTGCCGAATTGTTTGCGTAGAGCCTGTACTCTGGCGGTACGGATTGCTGCCCGTTTCGTGTGTAGCGTCGGAATAGAGCGAGCCGTGGCCGAGGAGGGAATTGGGGCGCTGGTTGCGTTGTTGTTGAAGACGCTGCGAGCTCATGGGGCGAAAGAAGCCGTGGGCTGCCAGCGGAACATGGGTTCTACTGGCAGACGTGGTTGGGCGGCTGTGTCCTAGACTGCCGGCGACGCTCATGCCGCCGCCTCGTCGTGCAGGGCTGGCCTGGGACCATCTGTTCTGGCTGCCCGAATTGGCAGTCGCAATCGACGACGGTCGCGAGGGTGGCAGGCCGGGCTCGCCTGCTGGGCCCGTCATGCCCAACACGCGACTGCCAGTCGAGCTGCGCTTCTGTTCGGACGGCGTCGTGGCCATGGTGATGTGGTTGCGGGCGCGATTACACTCTCGGCACGCAGCATGACATCAAAGAGCTGAGGGTGTGGCTGGAGGGAAGTCACGGCTTGTGCAGCGCGTGGTCGCGACGAATACGGGGAGCGCGGATGGGCGAGGATGGCGACCGGCAGGGGAAGGAGCGACTGGAAGTGAGTGAATGGAAGGGCTGCGGCGCCGAAAGGCTAATGGAACGATGGACAAGACGTGTGATTGCGCTGAAAGGGGCGCATAAAGTTGATGCTCGACCCTTCGACGTTGCCCGGCGCACTGCAAGGTCCGCCTGACTGTTTCCGGCATGGCCGTCGCTGTGACGCAGCCGCCAAGCTTGGCGTCCGCGAGATTCAACATCGAACCACTGCTCCGCGCTGCACGCATCCCATAGCTCGCATCCCGTCCACGCCACTCACCCCCCATCATGTCCTCCATCATTGCCCGCTCCGCCTTCCGCGCCGCCCCGCGTGTCCGTCCTACGCCTGCTCTTCGACGATGGGCCAGCGCCGCCGCTGAGGGCGAGAGACAGGCCGGCAAGGACGCCCTCAAGACCGGAGCGAAGCGCGACCCTGAGCTCTATGTAGGATGCGACACGTCAATTGGACAATACAGGGCGCATAGCTGATTCGTCTACAGGTTCTGTTCGCTATCATGAGCGGTGTTTTCGGTCTGGCAGGATGGCACTTCTGTATGTTCCCGGATACATCGATTCTGCCTCGTGCGCCCGTCTTCACATGCTGACAATTGCAAGCCCGCTCTCCTACCAGTGCTTCTTCGGAACGAGCTGTCGCCAAGGCCGCAGGCAGTGAGCCTTGGAAGCAGGATGGTGGTGTAGGCCCATACCAGTACCACCCCGGAGGTGACACCAGCGTCAAGAAGGATGCGCCTTCTGCGCTTAACGTGGTCGTCATTCCCAACGTCACTCTCCCCAAGGTAAGCTGACGCCCTTGATTACCAGCAATCAGACTGTATTGACGAGCGTAGGAACTCCATGACACATACAACAAGTGGGGCAAGGACGGCTACTAGACACGCAAACTGACATCAACTACCCAATTCCAATCAAAACCTCATGGCAGCAGAGTGCGAGATTTTTCCTTCAGTTATGCGTCTGTACATAAGACCTATTGCGCAGATGAAATAAGTTCTCTACAATGTCCTCACACAGATTGGTGCCGCACATGCCGCACAGTTCTGGTCTGCCTAACAACGCGACAGCAAAATCAATGCGGACTTGAATGATAAGAAACCCCTCAAGCACCACGGTGATTTCCGGTAGACTTTTTGTATATATACACGTCCGACTCAAGTAATGCTAGGGAAACCGCTATTCATCCGACTGGAAGGATCAACGTCGTGTCCGTCCTAGATCGAGGTACACATGCTTTTGTTCTTCTAGACTCTCTCCAAATTTGGTCCTTGCGAATGGCACTGTGAACCCCGGGTAGGGGAGCTTGTAGAATGTAGTCTATGGGTATCTATAAGTGCACTGTCAGTCTGGAAGTCCGCCTGCCAACTGCAATCAAGCTGCGCTTGGTAGTCGCTTCCGAATCTCGGCAATCATATCAGTCCTGTTCACCAGTACACCGTCTTTCTCGGGGTCGTTGTCATCTTTGATTCCCAGGACCTTAATCTTGACCTTGCCGTCTTTGAGCTCATCCTCACCAAGGATGACGAGGAGCGGGACACCGGCCACCTCAGCTTGTTTGAATTGCTGAGGGAGTTTCGGCTTCAGTTTGTACGAGAACTCAGCCTTGATGCCTGCAGCCCATAGCTCTTGAGCGACTTGCATACGTTCTGTCAACAGGCCGGTGAAGCCTTTACCACCAAAGGCTGCGACGAAGGCATCGACATCTTTGGCACGCTGTGTCGACTGGCCGCGGGCTTTCATGATGCTAATGATTCGATCGATGCCGAAAGATATGCCAACACAGGGAATAGGCTTGCCACTGAACATGCCCACGAGCCCGTCGTAACGACCACCAGCGGCGACACTTCCTACGCCGATTTCTTGCTGCTGACCTTTTACGCGCGGTGCTGAGCCTTCTGTAACTACCTCGTAGATGAGCCCAGTGTAGTAGTCTAGACCTCTGGCGAGTGAGAGATCGAAAGAGATTCTCTTGCGGGCACCAAAAGCATCGAGGTATGAGAAGAGCTGTTCCATCTCCCGAACACCCTGGCTGACATCTTCCGATTGAGAAAGGGTCTCGTTTGTCTTGAGATAGTCGATGATGTCGTCGCCGCCTTTGCGCTGCACCCATTCACCAATCTTATCCGCGATGTCTGCTGGCAGTCCCTTGGTCTCCATTTCTTGCTTGACCTCTGACCATGGTAGCTGCAGCATGTTAGTAATTGGCAGAGACATGGAGATGTTCAGCTCACCTTGTCTAGTTTGTCCACAGCAGAGCTGATCGGCCTTATCAGTTCTGCCTTGACGCCAGCAGCCTTGAACATGCCGTCTAGAATCTTCCTGTGATTTATCTTGATCGTGTACGAGTCCCACTTGAGCGCATCGAAGACGTCGGTCGCAATCTTGAGTACCTCGGCATCTGGAATCATGGCGTCGTAGGAACCCGCGATATCGAAGTCGCATTGGTAAAACTCTCGCATGCGACCCTTGGTCATGGCTGGTTGGTCGCGGCGGTACACCTTAGCGATTTGGTATCTCTTGAAACTCTGGACGCTAGGGTTCATGGCGAGCCATCGTGCAAGTGGAACGGTGAGATCGTAGCGCAGTGAGCAGAGCTCGCCGCCTTGATCCTGCAGATCGTATATCAACTTTGAGTCTTCTCCATATTTACCGCTGAGGATCTCTTTGAGTTCGAAGACGGGCGTGTCGAGTGTCGTAGCGCCGTGGCGCTTGAAAACTTCCGTTACCGTTTGGAACAGGTTGTCGCGAAGTGCGGCATCCTCGCCAGTCCCTGACATAGTTAGCGAGTCGTTTGGGCGCAATGTGGGCAAAATGTACAGTCGCGTGTGCCCTTTGGCACCTTCAGGTTGAACGATTTGTTCTTGTCTTCTTTGCCCATGTCGTCGTCGAAGCCCAAGGGCGAAGTTTGCGTAGAGAAGCGGCGGCGGGGTGCAAGAATGTAGGTTCGGATAGATGTTCGGCTGACTTTACGGTATGCGAAGGTATATCGGAGGGCGTCCTGGAAGAGCGCGGGGCAGACAAAGTGGGGTGAAATGCGCTGCATGGACCTGGAAAGTGACTCAATCGCCCAAGAGCAAGCGCGCGTGTGCAAAGAATCGTTCTACTCCGCGACTTGGCCCGTGCATCTTCACACCGACGTCACTGCGGTAGCCAAAATATAGTCACAGGATTACAACGAATAAATTGATGCATGGGTTTCTAGTCATCGCGCTGTGTGCAACTACCAGAGCAGTCGAAATTTCAGCAGATCTCTTTGTCCATAGCACTCGGCTACAACTGTCAGAATCATGTCGATGGCTGCCTTCGTGTTCCAGTCACTCTCGGACAATGGGGTAATGGACTGCGGTTTGGCCTGCGTCGGCTCGGAAACTGGCGCCAATTTGGTGGCACTCGCAGTTTGCTGCAGCTCTCCTCGGCGTATTTCTTGTCGCTGCCTCTCAGCCTCGACCCTTGAAAGGTGATGATGGACTTGCATTGGGGGCGTATGAGGCAGAGGCACTTGTGAATGTACCAAGCGGTCTCCGAGTTGCGCAAGAAGACGCGCTCGAGCTTCCTCAAGACCTCCATCTTCCGGAATGCTTTCTGATTCAACTTCATCCTCAGACATGATCATCTCTGCGTCAGAATCATCCGTCTCTTCAATGACTGTGTTTTGGCTGAGTACGGCATTGTCATTTCTGAAGGACGTCGTGTCTAATCCGTTGTCTTTCTCATCCGAAACATCGCGCAGAGTTTGTGTGACTTTCGGCGCGAGATGTCTCGTGTCGTGAGCTCCATGTGTCTGTTCTCTGGGATCGGTCTCTGGGACCTCGGGACTAGTGCACTCGCCTTCTTGTGCATCACACGTCAATGTTCTGTTGTCTGCGTAGAGTCGGCCCACTAGCCGGCCTGCGCTGAGCCCCAAGTCTCGAATTCTGCTCACACGCTCATGATCCAAAGTACCGAAATCTCCAACTAGGGCCAACAAGGTCCATATCCAGCTGCTCTTCTCCCGGGATATCTTAGCTGATCGACCCAATGCTAACGTGCAGCCTTGTAGAGCCATATACAGCGTCGACTCGTCAATGTGCATGATTTCTTGGAGAATCGGTAAGTCCTTCTCTATGGTTTCCGACCATTTCTGCTTTCCAAACTTCTCTACTTTTGCGCGGCTCGCTGCTGTGTCTGGTAGTCGTCCATACCTTCGCATTTCGGCGAGTTTCTTGCGAAGGTTTCGAAAGCGCTGGAGGAGAGCATTGGTGCAAGCTTCCTGTGGATCAAGGGCGAACGAGTCTGTTTCCCACTTGGTAGCGTTGTACTCCCAATCCACGGCAATCCAGGTTCCTTCCCTGTATATGACGCGTTGAGTATCCATCGGGCTTCTGTATTGAGATTCGTCATGGTCTGAGTCGAGTTTGCCAGCGTTGACATTGTTTGGGGCTACGAGTAGAGTGGGAATCGCCGATGCTTCAGACCTAGGCCTCATGTATAAGCGATGCACTTGATAATGCTCTCATGTGAGGGGAGTGCAAAAGATGAAGTAAGCACTCACCGGACACCGTGAAGGTAGGCCAACGCTTCGCTTGTGGTCTCGTCGGATGACTGCTCTTCACCGTCGAGTCCTGGTAGCACCGTCCGTGTCCCATACTCTTGGTACGAATCTACAGCGCGCGGCCGGTTTTTTGGGTGCGCTGTGATGCGCGCGATCCTCGCGCGCTTAACACCGACGGCCTCTTCTTGCGCGCACTTTCTTTTGCTGCCGTATGCAGTCGGGGACGCTGTCGAGGAGGATATGGAGGGCGGCTGCGTCGACATAAGGTAACCATCGGGCCGCTGTAGTTTGTTGTAGCTCTCACCGTCTTTAGTAACAGCCAAATTTACCCCCACGGTTGACATGTTTGCGTTGGAGGTTGTAGAGTCCTGGCTCCGGTTGATGAGTGATTGCGGAGACGCGCTCGGGGGTGACCTACATCGGTCTAGCGTGGCTCACGCTGGCACCACACATATATGCGGGCCGGCACAATCAATCTCAGGAACCTTGAATTGCGGAAGGTACATATTTGAGTATCTGAAGTTGAGGTTGATAATGTGTGGTGTATTTCACTGCACTATAGTTACGTGATGTCGTGCTCCTCGTAAAGCTACTCAGCCAACAGCTCTAACATCTAGATATGATGATGAGTTCCTGCGGGCGTACGCAAAGATCCCCAAACAAAGGAATTTATAGTGGGATTAATCCCATCAACCCTTTCCATCTCCCCTTGTGGTTGAGACCCAGTAGCCTGATCGTCATTGTCCCTTCCGTTCGATGTTTTCTTCTACTGGCTGGTAGGGGTACTTGATCGTGAGACACCAGATGTCTAAATAATCGCAGATCGTCCAAATAACATCCACGATGAAGCTTCCATGCACACCGACAGCAAGACCTAGACACATGAACACAAAGGCAACCTGATAAACATCGTTGCCCAAGGCACTTGGCCAGCCGACACCAATGTGCTCCTGTAGCCATGGCCCGAGCGAATCGATCACTCCGTAGATGAGAGGGTACATCAGTACGTTGCCTCGAGGAAATCGGGATTTTGTAAGGTGAGAGATGATCATGCGACCCACCGAGTACGCGTTGATGAGACCAGCGTAGAAGATGAACGGAACCAGATGGTGATGCAAGATCATAGGTTGCAGGTACAAGTACGCCGTGATGAGGACCCAAGCCGCCCCGAAGGTAAGAAGACCCAGGAGAGCGACTCGCGCCTTTTGACCACGGGCACGACGCGCCTTCATTACATTTTGCGCGCTGTGTCATTGTCAGCCTACTGTCTCGTACAATGGCATGTGTTCATACCTCGAAACAGTGTTAAACACGAGCACAACTCCTCCATAGACCATATACCATTCGTTCCATGCCAAATTGTACAGCACTTCTGGAATGAATCCTTGCTCTTTCACTCCGAGACTTTGGATCATGGAGCGTTGCCAGAAGCTACCTCCACCAAGGTAGGCAGTTGAGGCATACACTATGCACAAGGTTATGATACCCTCGACTGGCCCAGAGATAACACCAAGAGTCAGTGTATGGGTATGATACTCATCCCAGGTCTGCACGTAGAATGTCAGAGATGCTGCAGTAGTTAGCAAGATAAGATGCAAAGCAAGTAATGTCAAGGTGCTGGCTTACATGCAAAGAGCGTGAGGACTGTCTTCCAGCCTTGGCCAAGATTCATTGTCGCAGAGAACAACAATACTTCCAGTGTCGTATTGATCGCATCGACTCCATGATCGAACAGCTCGCCTAGAGGACCGCTCTGGCGAGTCCTGCGGGCCTGACTCCCATCCACAGCATCAAATGTTTGGTAGAGGAACAGTCCGATGGCCCAGCTGGCGTACACCCAAGGCGGACAATCTTGATCAAGGGTCGGTGTATACCAGAGTAAGGTGAGGAAGTTGACTATGATGAACCCGAACCCAGAGAGTGTTATCTACAGCATCATGTAAGTAAGGACGAAGCTCTTGCGGCGGGGTTCGACATATAAAATCTTTTTTTTTATGCCAAACTTACAAGGTTGGGTCTAAGACATGTTAGTATTGCTTTGTATGAGATTTTGGAAATACTCACGCCATCCACATAGGAAAGCATTTGATGACCACATGAGAGTAGAAAGGCTTGAGGACATATTGTGAAAGCAAGCTGTGATCCACGCCAGAGTACTTGTACTCCCTGAGCTTTGGTAGCTTATCCTGTCGTATGTACACCATGGTGTGTTATTCGCTTAGTACCAGCAACTGTTGGCGAGTTGTTGTGGGGTTCTGGCAGCGAAAGTGATTTCGGCGGCACTTGTTGCTATGTGGTGGTGCGCCAAGCGCAAAATCTTATGACGTAGCGACCCGTCCGCCCGCCGGTTTTGGCAACATCTTAGCGTGGAAACGGTATGTCAGGTACGATCGCTACCTCGGTGTGCACAACGAATGAGATGAATCATCATATTCTACGAATGTGTATCTGACATTGATGCAGCCCCTCGCAACTTCGCACCACTTAGACGCTGGAGGCTTGATGGCTCTACTAGCGATACTTGCCTCATTCTGGAACATTGTGATCGATCTTGCTCATATACATGATACAGCAGACATGACACCCTCTCACTGTAAGCAGCGCACAGTGCCATTTACTTGGTCGTACACCAGATGAGTGGCTTGATCGGTGCAATCGAAGCTTATGCAACAGTGCTCCAGGAGCAAGGAATCAAGATCCTGCTCCTCATGGTCTGGATGAGCGGCACGGTCTTGTGCACTGTCTCGCCCCAGCCTTCCACACTCCAGCTCTGTTCACGACGGACCTTGCGTTCCTCCAGGTTGGCGAATTGCCACAGATGGTGTACTGTGTTCAGATCACCGATTTGGACGAACCAAGCACCCACACCCTCCATGACTTCCCGCCTGGCCTTCAAGCCACGTCGCCAATGTGTCTCCCACTCGAGCAAATTGCCAGGATGTAGTGTGTACGAGCGCAATTCGAACAAGCCACCGAGCTGGCGTGGGGGTGTCGTAGGCCAGAAGGAGAACTCTTGCATTAGGGAGTTGTGCTTGGATTTGATCAAGGTCTTGAGTTTGGCATCGAACGCAGGGAACTCTGGATGGGATTGGATGTTGTGTAGCGATTCGTGGTAACCCTCGTAGCGTTGGTACTCCCAGATATGTACTTTGGTGCATAGTCAGCATCGTTGAGAGAGATGCGAGCGTTGGAGCGAGTTGCAGACTTACCAAAGGTGTTGCAATCTCCCACTTCAGTCCTCCAGCTACCTACAAGATGGACCTTGTTCTCGGGAATGGACGCCATCTTTGGGTACCAGCTTCCAACCAACTCGGTGTACTCTTCGACCTTGTCTTGCAGTACCTCGTGGAATACAATGGAGTGGACGTATTTGCCGCGAGCTAAGACCTGAGAAAAGCTGCGCTCAATGTCCTTGTCGAGTTCGCGGCCCTCGGGCGTGCCGTAGATGAGAGATGATAGCGCACCGCCCTTCTTCTTGCCGTTTTCTTGCTCACGGGCGCGGGCATCTTCTGTAGTTACTCACGTTAGCGCTCTTGGGTAATTCAGGTTGGGCGACGTGCAACGGACTCTCTTCCTGTTCCTTTCGCTTCTGAGCAGCTACCAGACCGTCGCGGAAGCTCTTCTGCTTCTCGTTGAAGCTGGCAGCACTATCGGGTGTGATGTCGGCGAGGGTAGGAGCTCTAGCCGGGCTTTGTGTTGGAGCGCCAGCACTGAAGGCCTGAGAGCGGACGGCGGTGGCACACGGCGGGGAGAGGATGCCGCGCACACTGGCACAAACACGGCGTGTGAGCATGATGGTACTGTCGGGACCGGAGCTGGAGGGTGAGGTCAATTTGCACACCAACGCCGACAGCGTGTATGGAGTGGAGTAGTGGTGGTGTTTGTGTCGGTTTGGGCGGGCTACAGCACAGCTTCCCCTCAATCAGCCTACTGCAGCTGTCCCTGTCAAGCTCACTAGCGTCCCGCTGCCTAGGTATCCGCCCGGGGCACTGGGGTAAGCGCGCCCCACTGCAAACCTCACCAACCTCCGTCACGCGTCTACATTGCTCTACTGGAAGCGTTGCAACGCTGTTTACATTTCAATGTAGCGCAGAACACTTTCATCGCGTCTTCAGGCCAACATCCAGATCCATGGTCGTATTCTTTGCATCTAATCTGTTGACATGATCGTAGAGGCCCAAGATGTACCACGAGACTAGAAAGAGACCATTTGGATCAATTCACTTCTAAACCTCGACCTCGAACTTCGCTGTCCCTGACTGCTCCATCCCTGCGTGTGGCTATTCATACCCCTTAGCGAGCAGCGAGCAGCGACCATGCCTTCTTATGATGTAGCTTAGTCCCTGCTTCTCTCGTACTCTACCATAATCATACACAAAGTGCTGTTCACGAATGCGGTAGCCGTCCCGCACAAGCGGAGCCCGCATTGGATTAGACATTGAACACCTAGAGGGTAATAGGAAACGTGATTTGAGATTGCAAGAACATGACAGACATGAGCCCCTGCCCAGGCAAGATAGTTGTTCAGTCCTCGTCAAATATCTGGAGCACGTTGTCAAGAATGGTAATGATTACGCGGGCTTGCAGACCGGCATCGGCCATATTGTTGCCTTTATGAGGACCCATTATGGACGGCCTATACGAGGTTAGTCGATACATAGATTCGGTCGAGTGATGACTTACGCCCAACAGATACCCAGATTTGCGGTGCTCATGCGGTTAACCTCGGAGGATTGCTGCACACGATGCAGATGCAAAACAAGGGCACGAAGTGTCGCATAATTCGGATCGGGCAAAGCATTGATTAGCGCGTGCATGGAATCACGTCGCATGGTCTCGTCATCGATGCGTGCAGCATCGATATACTTGCCGTAGAATTCGCGGGTGAGCAGTGGATCCGGAAGCTCGCGGAAGAATTGTTTCAGCAAACCAGCCACACTGTTGACGTCGTGCTGAAACGACTCTGGGTTGCGGAAATCTACTTGGGAAGCGTCTGTATAGCGTTAGTCGCCCGCATTGACTAATTGTCATAATCACCTACCACTGTCAAAGAGAGCTTTCATTTGCTGGATATGCGACGAGGTTCCAGGGATCCGATAGATGCCCTCTACTTCCAGTCCGTATAGATCCACAGCCTGAATACACTGATAGACTACCATGGGTACGGGTGAGCCATCTCGGTGGAACAGGTCTTCCAGAGTGACGCCAAAGACGGGATTGACCGGGGGTTGGGCATTGTTGTAAAGAATTCCGCTAGTCTGCTGTGCCGTAGCCTGACCGACAGGTCCACGAGGATAGTCTGACTGTGGGTAAGGCGTGGGCCCCACGGGTGAGTAGGGCGAGT